AACAGGTAGTAGTAGTAGTAGTAGTAGTAGTAGTAGTAGTAGTAGTAGTAGTAGTAGTAGTAGTACCATCATCATTATGGATATTCACTGACCGGTTTGACGTTTGTGGCCACCCAGACGATGTAGATACAGCAGAAGCTGCACTGCATGATGTAGATCAGCACGCTCACTAGAGACCTTGGGAGGAAGAGGGGGGGGTGGGGTGGAGGGGGAGGCAGGGAGGAAGGGAAAGTGAAAGCGCAAGTAAGTGTAAGTGTATGGGGTTTAACGCCGCTATAAACACTGTAAGGTTATTTTAAGGGGTGGGACTTCTTAATTTTAACGCCCGGCCGTCTCTGACAGGAACAAGTCAAACGGGTTGAGAGTCTTCAAAACTGGACCAAATAATCAGCGCCCAGTCAGGGATTTGAACCAGGGTCATCCGCCTGGTAGTCCAGCATGATAGCAACTGAGCAAACGGACCGCCCACCGGGGAGAGAAGCTGGAGTAAATTTACAGTCGTACTAATTATTAAAAACAGACATTAACATTACACATATGTTATTCTAACTACTCACATGACATAACTACTTTGGGTATATTATTATTGCAATGGAAGTGAAAAACTGTATCTCTTTATTATTTTGAAAAGCAGAAGAAAGTTAGATGCATTATACAGTATGGGGGATATACTTTATTGATAACAGATTGACTTGACAAAATTAAAGTTTTCTGGTTTTGTTGTTGTTGTTGCTGTTGTTGTTGTCGTTGTTGTTGCTGTTGTCGTTGTTGTTGCTGTTGTTGTTTGTTGTTGTTGTTGTTGCTGTTGTTGCTGTTGTTGATGTTGTTGTTGTTGTAGTTGATGTTGCATTTAAGCTTCACAGATTAAATCATTTAGTAGGCGGCCTCGACCCCGTCGGTTAGGGCCTACCCAGGCCGAATGGGAAACAATATCCCAGCAGGAAAGCCTAATAAATTCTCGATAAAGATTCTCTCCACATGGGATTCGAACTCAGATCATCTGCGTGACTGTGACTGTCACACCACAGGCGCCGTTACGGCTTCGCGTCGCGTCTGTGGTCTCACCTCATAAAGTGGGCGAGTCCCTGCAGGCGTCTGGGACCCGTGTAAAAGCACTGGAACACCGTCTCTTGGTAGTTACGTAGCTGAAGCTTGGTCCTAGGATGAAGAAGATCGTGAGGGGAGGGGGGGGGTAGAGGAGAAGGGGGTGAGCTTGTTTGTTTTGTTTTGTTTTATTTGAGTAAAAAGAAGCACATTAACACAATAACTGCCAGAATGTAGTGATGGAAAAAAAGGTCAGTCAGACAGATAGAACCAACAAAGGCAACGTAAAGAAGTAGAACCTACCAGTGGCGCCCTCCAAATACCCACAG